GCCTGCGTTACCACTTATAATTTGTGTTCAAGAGCCATTCCACGACTATATTCCCTTTGCGACAAAACCGTCGATTATTATGTATCGAATAGGTAGAAGAGACTGTGCTTCAAGAGCCATTCCACGACTATATTCCCTTTGCGATAAGTATGAACTAGACGAACTTCCCATGCATTAGCTAGCAGTCTTCGAATAGTCCCGAGGATTGTGGAATATGGATGAGCATTGTCCCTTCTTTTCTCAATCAAATGTAGGGCTAGTCGGGAGTGCGTTTTTAAAACGAGGAATTGTGTTCCTTTCTTCCAAGCAAACTCAAAACCTTAAAGAATCCCCCAAAGTTTTGCCATGACTGTTGTACAAGGTAAGTCTCGAATTTGCTGCAGAAACCACGTAGCCAGTCTCCATAGCAGTTTTTAAGGACACCTCATGTTGTTGCCATTCCCGAATTGCTCTGAGCTGCTCTATTAGTGTTGAGCTTATGCCATCCCGCGGGAGGAGCTGTCCATCCTACCAAAACTCCAGCTTGAGGCCTTTTTTCATTAAGGTGGTCATTTTCTTTTGCCAATATCCATGTTTTTGCACAAGTCTTCGCCTTAGCGTTGATGTAGTGATGTAATGTTGATGTTGCTAGCTTAATCCCCTTGAAAATCTCAACATTCCTGCATTTCCAATTATACCACATCATAAGACTCAAGTAGTGCTAACCCACTGCCCAGGCCAAGTCCCTTCACAGTCGTCTAATAAATTCCAGACAATCCAATCATTGTAGCTGGAGCTGAAGGTCACTGCTTGCTATTGAGTAATAATCTTAAGCCACAATAGCTCGCTCTTGGGAAATCACTCAAGCAATGAGCATTAGTCTCTGGAGTGTTGTTGCAATCAGGACACGAGTCATACGCCGTCAGGTTTGTGTACTTCCTGACACTGTTCAAAAATATTTTCTCTGAGCTGCCATCCACACGAACACTCTAAGCCTTTTTGGAACTTGCAATTTCCAAACACGTTTCTAGATGGAGTTGGATTGAGGAAGGGGGGGGGTTGTTGTGGCATCATCGCTTGGCAAGCTGATTAGACAGAGAAGTGTCCATAAGCCATGAGGCTCTAGGAGATTTGGTTGTCATTGGTATCAAGTGGGTTCACAATGGCTGCACCAATTTTGTTGGTCATTTGCTACGAGAGAAGATACTCGAACTCAGAAACTTTACATCCTTGCTTTGGGTCCCAAAGATCAGGCACCATCTTTGATTTCTTGTTTCCAAATATGTTATCATGGTTTTGATCATAATATCATCATAAATTTAATGTATGACAGCAACATGGATAATTGTCTAAATCCGACCTGACTATATACAATAAAACCCAAACTAATAGGATTATTTGCAGGTATGAATAAAATCCAAACCCTATTATTACAGGTAATGGGCACAATAGTTTTGATACTATCCAAGCTCAACTCATCTGATTCGGTCCGTCTCATGTTCGGACACGATTTAAATCGTGATGTATCATGCCTAATCGTTCCCATGTTGTGAAGGTATGAAAACGTAACAACTTATTGGTAGAAAAAAAAATGGAAGTATAAGATAAGTGGAGTAATTTGGCCTCCACGCTCTTTCCAATCATTTTTATTCATCCTAGTAATTACATTTAATATTATATTGGCATCCAGTCTTTGGGTGAAACCTGTCAAACAACATTGTTGAAGTAGACCAGAGTTATCATAATTTCCTTTCAAAGAAAATTATATACATAATCGGCTACCATTCTACTGTGCATACATTACACGATACATGTTACATAAAATCAAAACCTAGGGTAGTCTCCGGATTCATGATACTATGCTAGTTTCTATTATAATGATGATCCACTGCATATAGCTGGGAAGAAAGCACAACTTGACATTTTCCTTATCGAGTATTATAAACTAGGTTAATTTTTTATTATAGAATCCTGGATTCCATTCATTCAGAGAAAGGTCAAGACTGGCCCATAGGACCTCAGCCCAAATCGGCCACAAGAAAGGACAACAGAGAGAGCGGTGGGTTATTGATAGCGTCGTATTTGCACAAGTGTGCACCCTTGTTTGCTGACCGTTTTAGCTCGAATTTGTGGTTCCTTGGCCTATTTTATGCTAGGTTGTGTTGTTTTGTCATATCTAAGGTCCTAGCGAGTAAAGGGAGGCATAGGCACAAGTTTCGGGTCGTTTGGAGGTCGTTCAGTGAAGCTGGAGCCAAAACACGGGCAGCCCTGACCAATACACGGTCATGTTCCTCAGGCCGTGTTTTTACTGCCGAGAGCGTGTCTAAGAGGGCTGCTGAGGGTCCAAAACACGGGCGGTACTGCAGCAAAACACGGTAGTGTCACTTATGGGGCACGACAATGTTTTGGGAGCGACTCGGGCGTGTCTGCCTTGATTGAAGCAAAATATGGGCGGGTGAGGCAAAGCACAGCCGTGTCCTCGACCATGTTTTGCCCAAAATAGGTTTGTTAGGTAGATTCGAGCCAAAGGAAATGAGAGACGACTTTTTTAGCAGAAAACAGAGTTTTAGAGAGAGAAAGTGAGAAGAACAAACCCTAGGAGCTATTTGGAGTGGATTTCTCACCATTGAAGCTTAGATTGCATCCCCAGGAGTGAAGATCGACATCCCAGAGAAGATTATCCCCATCTTTATTAGTATGACAACTCTGATTTCTGTTTTCCTCTCTCTCTCTCTATGGAATAGAACCTTCTCTCACTTGGGTATGAAAAATCCTAGTTCCATGTGTTAGGAGTCTTGATTGTAATGAAGTTTTGATTGATATACTGCTTGATTATAATCGATTGATGCGTGATTCATTGAGTCAATTGAAGCCTGAGCAACTTTTCTTGATTTTCGCTGCAACCTGAGATTGATAGAATCTGATGAGGTTGTTAGAGCTTCACCAATCAGTAGTAGTAAATTGATTATACAAGAGTTAATCGATTTATTGCTTTGTACTGGAATCCAATTCCAGTAGTGGAGTTTTGTGTTCATTGCCTCGACAGTCTATCCCGGTGAAGGCTAGTTGCCTGCCGGTTAGTTTGTTTGAGAGGGCTTGGTCAGCTTAAGAGATTCCAAGCTACTGTTGGATCTTCCTCAGTTTAATCAACAACAAATCAACCAAAGGTAATTACAACTTTGACCTAACTAAGGAGCTAGGGGGACTCGTTCCCGAGTGACTCTTCCCTTGCTTAAGAACTTCGAACCATTTCCTGCTTTCTTACTGCTTTAGCTGAACCAATTCAACCAACCTAGTTTGCTAGATAATAAATCATCACGGAGTAGGCATTAGATCTAGACCCCGGGTTGATAAATAGAACTTGCCACTTTATTGCATTTCCGGACTGTGATTACACTTTGTCGCAGTTTGGTGTTGTGTTTTAGCGTGTCAATTATTAACCCATACAAATTGGTTCTCCCATCCCGAAACATAATGGGCCAAATAGTGAGCAGAGCAATCATTTTCCCTTATCGTAAACATTAACCTGACCGAAATTCCAAAAAATCCCTCGTTCCCCGATGCCGCCTTCCAAATCTTCCTTCACCAATCTCAAACATTTCTTTTTCTTCACAGACTTTCCACCTGCTTGTTATTAATACCTGTGTTTGGCATATTCTGCCCAATCTTTTCTCTTTGGCAAAATACACTTGTATAGCTAGGGGTGGGCAACGGGACGGGATTGGGTACCCGTCTCCTTGGAAACGGGTACCCATTCCCATTTGGAGAGCAAGCTCCATCCCATATCCCAAACCCGTACGAGTTAATGAGTACCCATTACCCATACGTGACAGATAACAGGTACCCGCGGGTAGCCATATTGGAAAAAATAACTAAATCATGTAAACTTAAATTAGATTTTATCAGGTTATTAATTAGTAGGAAAGCAGCAATATAATCAACAGATTAATCCTTTCCCGTCTAAATGTACTAGAATCGGCTACTGACTGGGGAGATGGGATTTGGGGGAAACGAAAAGATCCGGTGGCGGAGAAGCAAAGCAACGGATCCCCACCGCCATTGATCTTTCATCTTTTGCTGATGAGATCAGGTGGCAGTACCGATTCAACCCCTTCCAATCTATTAGGCTTAATTTTCCCTGTTTCTTTCACACTCTTTACGCCTGATCATGGAAGCTTTCCATTTTCATGCTGGATGGTGACGCTGGTGTTGCCCCTAAGTTTGAACTTAGATAAACATCCTGTTTACATTAGTCTCACAATTTAAGGCTTATTTATCTGTTCTTTTTGTCTTACAGAGGTTATTTTGGAAAGAATTGCTAGCATTCGCTGGCAGTGAATGGAAATTGTAACAATGTGGTCTCCTCCAGTACCTGCTAGAAAATAAGAGGGTATGCATATGAGATTTTGGCGGGTAGTACGGGTACCCGTAATACCCAAACGGATATTGACGGGTAACCCATGGGTACTCATTTTGAATTTTGTCACCCTAAGTCCCATCCCGTAAAAAACATTACGGGTATTTGAGTACCCGTAACCCTCAAAAAACGGGACGGGTATGGGTATACCCATATACTCGTTTCCCGTTGCCCACCCCTATGTATAGCCAATTTTTTTGCGTTTTTGCTAATAATACCCAAATTTAGAGAAATAACACTTATAGCCGGCTTTTAAAGTTGTTGTAGGACAAATATAGTCATTTCTGTTAGATACTTTAAGGGTGTTATTAACACTGTCAACTTATTTAACGGTTCGCTGACTAGGCGCCAACTCAACAGACACATCAACAACAAATAAGTAAATAGTGACACGTCAGATATTTCAACTATTTAATATTTACACATCATAAAGAAAAAAAAATTACTTTCGTGTACCCCATCTCTTTCGCACGACCATCTTCCCCAACTTTTCCTTCAATTTCAATTTCAGGGTTCTTCCCCAACTTTACCATTCCCCCGAATCCTCTACCCTTTTCCGATCAAAGCGGTGATTACTCTTCCCCATTCCTGCAAATCCTTACCGCAAATCCCACGATTTTTCTTCCTCTAGCCTCCGAGCCTCTCTATCGTGGGGTGGTACACAGTTGGCACAAGGATCTTCTTTTCCATCGAACCATATGCACTCGACGATTTATAGCCATTTCCAGAATCCAAATATAGCTTCGTCTTCTCCTCTTCTTGAAACCCTGCCGACGGTTTCTAGCCATTTCCACAATCTGTTTCTCTACTGTGCGAACCCACCCCCAATAGCCTTCCTCCCACGGAGGCTTCCGCTTCCGCTTCCTCGAGTAAAAAATATTCATATTCTACTGCAACGGTATCTACGTCCAAGATATTCCCACCAACATCCGGAAACGCCGCAAACCAAGGAAGCGGCCCAACCCGGCCCATCAAATCCACATCCACAGGATACTTCATCAGTTGACCCTTCATCTCCAGCACCACCTCCCCAGCAAATCGCCTCCAGTTCTCTTCTCCTATCGTCCTCACCTTCCTCACACACTCCACGCTCTCCGGCCGGTCGAACCACTCTTCTTCCACCGCCCCTACGGTTGTTCTACCCATAGCGACTTACTGTACACGTAAACCTGCCCGCGAGCAGGCTTCACGTTTTTTCGCAAGCTATGTCGCCGCTGAAACCCTCCCATCGCGATCTCGCTGTCGCAGGTGCCATCCATCGACCTCTAATTGAAGTTCCCCCGACCGTCAAATCAAACATATTTAATTTCCCACACTGTCAATTCAATAGGTTGGTGAATTTGGGATTGAGAAATTTTTCTGTGCGTTGATGTGGAATTGAGTGTATATGGATCCTATCAGCTTGTCTCTGCTTTCGATCAGTAGATGGATAGAATAAAATGATTTCCCTTGTCTCTTGGCGAGAGGAAGAAGATGAAGGGAGAAGATCTTCAGTTTTGGTTTTTTTTTTTTAATTCAATTTTGTAGAGAAGAAAAAGAAGATGGTGGTACCATCTTGCCAGCAACAGAGGGAATGGTCACTGGCCAGGTATGATGATGATGCATATGGCGGTCAATTCGGGTACTAGTGGATAGGGAAGGGTTTGGGACATGCTGCTGGAGATGGAAATTATTTGTGGATTATTTTTTGTTAGTTTAGGTTTTTATGTGGCTGATGTGGTAAGTCATGTACTTCATTTTCAATTTGAGGGTTTCTTTTATTTTTGGTCAGTTATTTTTTTTAATTAATCATTATCCGCGTGGACAATTAGAGAGTAAAAGGGAAATAAGGGCTCGTTACGTAAGCATTTTCGTTTGTCAGTCACATTTAATGCTAACATCGTTAAAGAATTGAACGGAAGTGCCTATTAGTGATATTTCTCCAAATTTGGCTATTATTGGTACACACAAAAGTTTCTCTATTTGAATTTTGATGCTCTAAGAGCATTTCTCGGTAGGGTGACTTATTAGTCATTTCACTCACTTGAAATCAAACGATGCGTTGCAATTTGTTAGCCCTTTTTTTTTTTACTTTTGATGTTATATTCCTCCTTTGCTTCTTCTTTATTATGTGGAATGAACTTTGCCTTTTCAAACACACGCTACAATTTAATTTTGTAATTCATTCATGTAATTCTAGCAGTATTTAGTATAATTTTTGTCACAAAATAATGTATGTATAGAATTTTAAGGAATATTCATACCGTATCGATGGTCCGACTAGAAAATTTTCTACCTGGTCTAATTTGGTAGGGGTATTTGGTGGTATGAATTGGTTAAATTACGATTAAACCACGCGTTGAATCACTTTTGAGAGCCTTTCATTAGAGGGTTTCAGCATTAAATATTTAACCACTTAGTTTTCTGATACAACTTCGTGTACGATTTTACAATCTTTGATTTTTTCCACAATATGATTTTATATTTTAATTCAGAAAATAAATTTTTATACAAACAAATCATATTCTTCAAAACTACATGCACTTTCATCTACAAAATATATAAAGACAAAACATAGTTGGAATTGTCTGATTTCAAATTTCGTGGACTGAGAATAATTTTAGGAAGATCATTTTTGTCATTCCACCCAAATCATCTTTATATATGAAAAATATTATCATTTGAGTCCAAACTTTGGTCAATTAATAAAGGAATAAATAACATTATGATCAACTAGGTTATATTGTATTTATTTTTATTTCTTTGATTAAACTCTAGAAATATGTTTGGTGATGATGCTTCTATATTTATATTTTATCTTAAGTTATTTATATTTTATAGAGAAAGATTAGTTCTGAAATCGGAACTCAAGTAACATTGATTCAAAAATTAATATTAAATTTTTTGTGCAGTTTAGTTTAGATAAAATACAGAAGTGTATTTTACTCTTTAATATAATTAATTTAATTTTAATATTTGTGATGTTTGAAATATTTTATATTTTATTTAGAAGTATAATTATTATTTGCGACATCAGTGGTAGTTGGTTCAAATGTACTATTTCGTCAAGTATTCAAAATCAAATAATTGGTGAATTTATGATTATTTTTATCTTAGTGTTGTGAATATGCAGAAACTGAATATTAGAATGCACGGATGTAGGAACCTGGTGGTGGAGTCCGACTCTCAGTTGGCCATCCAACTGATTAACAATCATCGGGATCCTGTGCACCCCTATGCTTCTCTTTTTGACTCAATTCGGAAGAAGATTGCTCAAAACTAGCTTGTTAGGATAGTCCATACATACCGAGAAGGGAATAGAGCCGCAGACTGGCTCTCAAAGCACAGTCTCGTCTATAGGTGTCAATCGGGCGGGTTCGGGGCGGGTTCAATCGGTTCCGGGTTAGTCAGCTTTTGGGTTTGTCGGGTTGCGAGTTTATCAGTTCGGGTTCAATCGGATTGCAAACTAATCGGGTTGCGGGTAGATCGGGTTTCGAGTCGGGCAGGTTGGGGCGGATAGTGTTGCGGGTTATTCGGGACAACACATCAAGTTACTTACTCCATACTCATACCAACTTACACATTTTATTACACTAATTTAAAATATTTTTCAAAATTTTTAACCAACTTATTTTTACCTCATATATATATATATGGCGAGTTCTACGGTACCCTGGGTGAAATCCGGGGTACCGCATACCCTGAGTATGAATACACTATCTAGACCTTGAATTGACCGATCTTTCGGACATGATACTATACTCTAACACTTAAAGATCAAAAGCTAGGTGTTAACTCTCCCAATATTATACTCCAAGATCAATTTAATTAGAAATAATAATCGACAGTTATGATTCATCCAAATATAGGCACAAAAAGGAATGCACCATCTTAGGGTTTATAGATTATGATTTAGATAATTATGACCTAGGGTTCACTCATTAAGGGTTAGGGTATAATATCAGACACAAAAATCCTGGTAATTCGAGGTTTAGATAGAGTTTCCATACTCGAGGTATGCGGTACCCCGGATTTCACCCGGGGTACCATAGAAGCCACCATATATGTATATATATATATACTTACTTAATAAAAAAATCTAGTCAAAATGTTGAATCAATTTGTATGATATGCAAACTTGTTATGTTATTAATCATAATTGGTAAAGTACAATAGCTAATATTAATGGCGCTATCAACATTTGAAAACCAATAGACACTATTAGCAAACTAAACAAAACACCACTCTAAAATCAAAGAAGAAAAAACACATTTTCTTCTCTATTTTTCTTTCCATAAATAAAAAAACAACAAATTCCCCATCCTTTTTCTTTTCCTATAAATCAAAAGCACCAAAACTCCTTCTTCTTTCTTTCTCCAAAACATGAAATACAAAATTTCCCTCTTATTTTTTCCTCAAAAAGTTGAAAACATCAAAATTTCCCACCTCTCGCTCCTCCTATAAACCAAAGCACTAGGAGTGTTCAAACGGTTTGGTTACCGTGGTAACCGTTTTAACCAGTACTATTTGGATAATTTGGTTTGGTTAATTTGTATAATTGGTTTGGTTTGGTTAAAGATTTTAGCTTGTTTAGTTTAGGTGGTTTGTTTTGGTTTCAAACACTCCTAACCAGTCAAATCAAATTAACCAGTTAAGTAATTAGTCATATATCTAACATATATTATATACACATACTTAATACTTTGCATGACCACTCAAGAGTTAACGTTCATCCCTTTTAGACTCATAAAATATAAAGCTCAATATTGCTCATATAGTGTATATTTGTATATGTAAAGTGTAGACCACAACATATGAACGCCTAATTTAGATAAATTTCATACATTATGATGGATGAAAACTTGAAAGGAATGTCATGTCCAACCTATGATAATTGCTAAGAGACTAAGTCAATTTACACAAACACAACAATTCATTAACCCATACCATTGTCATAAATTTTTGTTAGGTGAATACTTATATACTAATCGTAAGATAATTGTCTTAGTTGCATGTATTTTTGTTAAGGGTCAACTATAACTACGTGTTGATTGTTATTTTTTATCCATTATATAAATTGTGAATTGTTGCATTAACTGTAAAATTTTCATCGTCAATGATAATGTGATTTTATATTGGTTAATTTGGTTAACCAATTTGACCAAACCGATTAAACTTTAGTTTGGTTAATTTGGTTGTTGTATTAGTTTGGACGGTTTGGTTATGATATTGTATTCCATGGTTAATGGAATTTAGCCTTATTTGGTTTGGTTATAACCATGGTAACCATTTGAACACCCCTACAAAGCACCAAAATTCCCCCTTCTTTCTTTTCCCAAAACTTGAAGCACCAAATTTTCCTCTTCTTTTTTCTCTTCCTATAAACCACTAGCTTTCTTAACCATTAGGTGAAGAACTGTGATTCGTAGCTAGAGAGTCTAGCCCTCTTTATCGATCAGCCAAGGAGATCCCTAACTCTCTCTTAGTTAGCTAATTGAGAGTCGTTGCAACAAGTTAGGAAGCTAACTCACTTATCCTTTCGGCTAAGCGTGACAACAATAGGCTGGGGAACCTAACCCTCTCAACGAGCCGGCTAAGGATTACAAACCAAACCCTCGGAACTTAATCTGGTCGGTGGAGAGACCTATCCCGGTGGAATCACGGCCCTACTCCGATATTTGAGATTTTGGTCATAAATTGTCCTAAAGGAGGTTACCCAAGTGGCTAAGGAGTCTAGCTCCTAATTGGACCAAGAGGGGATTTCCACCCTCTAGGTTAATTTCACCCAATATTGAGTTTAAGCTAGCACACTAAATCATCCATGAATAATACCTCAAATGACATATAAAACACTCAATCACCACAATAGGTTCATGTTCTTGCAACCTAACACATAGAGAGACTAGGGTTCATAATACCTAAGTGATTCGGTAGGCTATTCCATAGCTAAACAAGATAAAACAACAAAAAAGGGAAGAAATAACCATGAAGTGATGTCAATCTTTCCTCCTTGTTGCTTGAGATGCCCTTGTGATGAAGAAATCTTCAATCCTCTAGCTAGGAACAGGCCCAAAGCTCCTTCTTAATCCTTTGATTTTCACTTTCTCACTCTAGAAGAAACCCTAACCTCTCACTAGAATCCTATTTATTCTGAAAATGAAAACCTAACCTAAAAATGAACCTCTCTTCTCTCTCCCCGCTGCTGTCTTCATATTTGCCCGAAAGAGACCAGTTCCGCGTTGGCCAGTTCACGCTGTGAACACCTAAACACGTCCATGAACTCAGTTCAGTCGTCTCCAAAACGCACCGCTTCACTCTTTTGGGTTCACGGTTAATGGCTCTGAAACCTTGATCTACTGCTCGATGTTTACGGTTTGTG